GCAAGGCTCCCCCTAAATTGTATGCTCCCCCTAAGTCCATGATTCTTTGAATTTTGGAGTGAGTTTTATGATAGTTATTTTGGCCTGCAATTTCTTTGAAACAAAACAACACATATGCATATTCTTCTCCCCCTTTGTTAACATAAAAAAGGATGGGGAAAAAGAGTGAAACAAATTCATTTAAAAAACACAAACAATATATACACACATATTTTATCAAATAAAAACATATAAAAGAAGGAGTAGAAGCAGAGTGTACTGAAATATAATTTTTTGAAGAAAAATTAAGACGTGCACCTTATGAGAAACATTTAGAGATCACCTTCATCCAAAATACCAAGTTCTCTTCGGATTTTGAAGAATGGTTCTCGAGCAAGCGGTTTTGTGAAGATATTTGCGAGTTGGTTATGAGTATCCATAAAAGTGACTTCGACATCTCCTTGAAGTACATGATCACGGAGAAAATGATGTCGAATATCTATATGTTTGGTTCATGAATGCATGACCGGATTCTTTGTAATATTGATAGCACTTGTATTGTCGCATCGAAGAGGAATGCATCCGAGATCAAGTCCGTAATCACGGAGTTGTTGCTTGAGCCAAAGAATTTGTGCACAATAACTACCCGCTGCTATGTATTCTGCTTCGGCCGTGCTAAGAGCAACACATGCTTGCTTTTTACAAGCCCATGATACTAATGCATTTCCAATAATGTGACAAGTACCACTTGTGCTTTTACGATCAGTTTTACAACCTGCATAATCCGCGTCAGAATAACCAATTAAAGTGCAAATACTACCTTTAGGATACCATAAGCCGACATTGGTTGTTCCTTTGAGATACTTCATGATCCTTTTAACTGCCATGAGGTGTGATTCCTTTGGATTTGCTTGAAAGCGAGCACAAAGACAAACACTAAACATTATGTCAGGACGACTTGCCGTCAAATACAATAAGGAACCAATCATACCTCGGTATTTTGAAATTCTCCACCATGATCACTTCTTATGGATACAATCTCCGAAGCTTTTTGTTCTTGATGGACCAAAGAGATCCATGTGTAACAATTGAAGTGGTCTTGTTGTTGAAACCACATTCTTTGGTTTGAAAGTTGATTTGGTCTGTTTGCCCTTTTGGCATGCACTACATAATTTGTCTTTGATGAACTTCATCTTTGGTAGACCAATAACTAAGTCATGCTTAACCAATTTGTTCAAGTGCTCCATGTGAATGTGAGCAATCCTCTTGTGCCATAACCAAGCGTCATTGTTGTTTACCATAAGACATTGTATCTTCATAGACAAATCATCTAAAGTAATCATAAAAATATTGTTAGATATTATACCTTTGAGTTTTACCTCATTGGTTGCCTCATCCATAATAAGGCATTCTTCTTTGTTGAATTTGATCTTGAACCCTCTATCGCAAAGTTGACTTATGCTAAGAAGGTTGTGCTTTAATCCTTTAACATAGAGAATATCCTCAATTTGAATGGATGGAGGTGTGCCAACTATTCCAACGCCAAGTATCTTTCCTTTGGTGTTGTCTCCATAGGTGACATACCCTTTGGCTTTATGTACTAGATATGAAAATTGGTGTACATCTCCTGTCATATGCTTTGAACATCCACAATCAAGATACCAAACATTTGATGTGGATTTCAAGAATACCTACAAAAACAAATTATTTCTTGTTAGGTACCCAAGTTGCCTTGGATCCTTTATAGTTAGTTCCCTTTTTCACCCATGCATAATGTCCACTAGATATACTGAAATTTCTAATATAGCATGCATTGGGTGTGTGTCCAATAATACCACAGTAAAAACAGTTTGGAACAAATTTGCTCTTGTATCTAGGAATTTGTTTTCTTTTAGATACATTAGCCTTTTTCTTTTGATGATTATGAACAACTTGCTTCTTTTCTACTTTCTTGGGATTGGAACTATTACTAGCCTTTACAAAAACAGTGGGATTGTTACTTGGTTTCTTAGTATTCACATAACCAAGACCTCTTTTATCATTTGGATAACGTTGTTGGCTTAGTAATCCTTCCAATCCTATTTGTCCTTTTTCATATCATTCAATGACTCTTTTCAATTGAACAATTTGAAAGACATTTGATTCACACTTGGAGCATGCAAAGTTTTCCTTTTCTTTAGTAAAATTTTGTTTTTGAAGATCAAAATCTTTAGTCATGGTGTCAATTTTTTCTAGACAAATTAGAAGTTCTTTTTCTTGTTTTGACACCTTTTTGTATAAACTTTTGCATTCTTTCAAGAGTTCATCAATTGCACCTTGAACATCATCATCAAAAAGATTAAATTCATTACTAACCTCTTCTTCATCGTCGGAGTGATGTGAAGCCATCAATGCTAGATTTTCACTTTCGTCACTATCCGAATCGGATGAAGAACTTATCTCATTATCTTCCCATGCAACATAAGCCCTTTTGTTCTTGAACTCCTTTTTTCCTTTGAATCCATTTTTCTTGGAGAGTTTTGGATAATCCGGCTTTATGTGACCTTGCTTTCCACATTCATAGCATGTGACATCTTGTGTTGATGTGGAGGCTTCTTTATCTTTATGCTTATAAAATTTCTTTCTTTTGACAAAGTTAGCATTATGAAGATTATTTTTATGACCAAAATATTTTCCTAACCTTTTTACAAGAAGCAAGAAGTTTTCATCTTCCTCCGATGCATCTTTATCTTGACTTTCTTTTGAATCAACTTTCAAAGCAATGCCTTTGGATTTCTTCTCATGATTCTCATGTTTTTCAAGCCTTCCAAGTTCCGTCTCATATTCTTGAAGCTTTCCGAAAAGTGTTGCGGAAGTCATAGTTGCTAGGCTTTTCTTTTTGGATATTGCCGTCACTTTTGGTTGCCATTCCCTAGTTAAATACCTAAGCACTTTAAGATTTAATTCATCGTTAGTTAAAGTCTTACCGAGTGCCTTCAAATGGTTTGTCAAGTGAACGAATCTCTTTTGCAAGTCAAGGATGGATTCTCCGGGCAGCATTCTGAATAATTCATATTCTTGACTCAAAGTGTTCAATCTAGACCTTTTGACTTCGGCGGTTCCTTCATGAGTTTCTACAAGAGTATCCCAAATTTCCTTTGCCGTTATACATGCTGATACTCGGAAAAATTCATCCATACTAAGAGCACTTTGGAGAATATTGATTGCCTTTTTGTTAAAGAGAACTTTTTTCTTGTCATCGTCATCCCATGATGCTTTAGGCTTTGATGATCCAACACCATTGACAACACACACCGGAGTAAATGGACCATTCTCAACAGCATTCCATATTTCTTCTCCTTGCGCTTCAAGATGAGCCTTCATGCGAATTTTCCAAAAGTCAAAGTATTCACCACAAAACAATGGAGGCTTGTTGTTACTACCACCATCTTTGAAAACCGGATTTTGATTTGCGGAAGCCATTCTGGATCTTTAGGAACAAGTTACCTATAACTTGCTCTGATGCCAATTGTAAGTCTAAGAGTGCCTAAGAGGGGGGGGGTGAATTAGGTATATAAAAATTTATTCGGTTTTATGAGAATACTTGTAGTAATTTGTGGTTAAGTGTTTGAAGGTTTTTGATTATATCTTATCTTTTCTTGATTATGGTGATGAAAACGATAAAAGCGGAAAAGTAAAGAACATGGTGATATATCCTGGTTCCCCTCACAATCTGAGAGTACTCCAGTCCCCTTTCCAACACGAAAGAGATTTCACTATAGTTTAGAATGATTGTACAGCCTATGCTTACTATCTAACCTATAGGGTGACCAAAGGTTCTTAACACCTTTAAGGTCAAACAAACACTAATGTGAATGAAGAACAATCCTCTTCAAATCACAACACTTACTTCCAACAATCCTGGATAGTAAGGGGACACCTTTAAGGTCAAACAAACACTAATGTGAATGAAGAACAATCCTCTTCAAATCACAACACTTACTTCCAACAATCCTGGATAGTAAGGGAATACTTTCTTTTTGTTATATAATGATTTATTTGAAAGAGATGGAGAGCACTATCAATCTTTGATTGATCTTCTTCTTCAAGAAAGAAACAATTCTCAAGCAATGATTATAAATGTTCACAATGAATGTATGAAACTTGTAATGATTTCTTAATGAAAATGTATATGGCAAGTTTCACAAAATTTATGATTTGTAAGAACACTTGAAAGTTTGTAAGGATATGCAAACTTGAATGATGAAAATTGTTAATTGAAGAAGGTTATTTGAATTTGAAAATCTGCACAGTTTATAATGTCACAAATACCTCTTCATTCATGCCATTTGATATGAAAAGATGCAATGCAATCATGAAATAATACCATTTGAATTATGTTCAAAAAACAAAAGAAAATCTGTACTGGTTCGCTGGGAACCGGTTCCGACCCAGGCAGAACCCGGTTCTTAGTGAACGTTATAACCCAGAATTCAAAAATAACACGCAGGAACCGGTTCCCCTATAGGTACAATCCGGTTCCTGGTACAAATTCCAGGGAAGTGTTTTTTGAACAAGTTTGGAACCCGGTTCCCCTTTAGGTAGGAACCGGTTCCTGAAAGTTTATTTTCAAAAAAATCCTTTTGAAAAAGATTTCAAACATAGTTTTTCTTATTGTTAAAAATGTGGGATATGTATATGATTATGAATGCATATTTGTGAACATCTATATTCAAGTTTAAGAATTATTTATACCTTTTGACATTTGTTGTTTCTTTAATAATTCTTCTTCTAATCTTCAAGACTTGTAACAAGGTTTTATATGATATTGATAAACTTTTTGCACATCCTTTGAATGTTGATATCCATGTTGTCTTCATCAAAACCAATGCTTTAAACATGACTTGAGAAGCTTGCAATTACAGGAAGTAACAAAGAAGAATGATGACTTAGATTCTACTCATACATATTTATCCAAGGTGGATGTCGCTCTTAATGAAGAAAATCGTTCTTTGGATTCTACCTTAAAAAGGATATAAAAGATGGAGAAGTCTCTAAAAGAGTCTCGAGGGAGTCAGAAAAAGGCTGAGTACGACCTCTTTGTGGCACGCCTTGAGAATCTTGATCTTTCCAAGGAGTTATCCAAGTCAACAAAAGAAAATTACTATGTTTCCAGGGATGTCTTTGTGAGTGCCTTGAAACATGTGGATTATTTTTATGCTACCGTGTCAATCTCCCGAGAGCAAGTTCGTCTTGATCAAGATATCAAAAATGGGATGGTGGCCTCCTTGATAGATTAGTATTCCATTTTTTAACTGACGTTCTTGTACCTTACATATGTAAATCTTTGTAGCTCTTCTCTTGTAAAATATATTTTAGTTTGTTACTTACTCTTTTTTTTTACCTCTTTTTGAGGTGTTTCTTCTGGTCACGGGTTCATTACTCTAGGATGCATATTTTTATTTGAGGTTGTGCTTAAAGTTTATTCGACGTCTTTGGAGACCTTACTTGGCCAATGGATGATACCCCTTCCTTTCCCCCATATGTAAATTTGGTTCGAGGTTGATGTATGACATACTCATCACTACCTATGGAGTGGATATCTACCTAGAGGGGGTGAGCCAATATTTTCCACTTCGTGACTTACTTTATTTATGTTTGTGGATTGACATCATAAGGTTTTGATTTCTTTACGCATACGCCTATGTCATTTGTGACATCACCTCTGAGTCTTTGTGATAGAGTTGTGATCTTTTTGTTGTACCCCAAACTCATCGTTACTTTTCATAATCACAAGTAAAATAGATAGTTTAGTAAAAATTTATTTTTTCTTTAATCGAATAACATAATAAATTTTAGTAATGTGTCATCGCTTTTACAAAGAAATTGATTTAAGATAGCCAAATGGTATAGTCATATCTTGTTGGCCACAAGAGAACTAGTAGTTAGCTTTGACCTTTCCTGGATCATCCACTTCTGCTTGTCTAACCACATTGATCTTCATGGTTTTGCCTTGACCTTCTTTTTGGTCATACTACAAAGCCTTGTAAATCATCATAACCGAATCATCATGGATGTTATGGTAGTTCATCTTGAGGTGATGAGGGGTGTCTACATGGTAGGTAATATGAGATTACAAAATGTGTTAAAATGATTTAAAAAAGAAAGTTGTTAATGTGAGATTAATATAGGAAATTTATTTTTCCACTCTGTTACCTTCTCCCATGCCCGTGGATAAATGTCAAAAATTCCCCCTATTTATAGAGATACATATCTGAATGCACCATTTTTTTATTTGACCTAAATTAAATTTGGAGATGCATATGCAATTGTGTTTTAGGGTCAGTTCGCAGATACAAATCTTAATTAACCTTTTTTATTAAAAAAATTCAGGGATTATTTTTGAGATTCATCTCCGAACGAGAAAATGTATTTAAACCTCACACCAGACTCTCCCTCTTCTCCTTCTTTATTTTCAGAAACTTTTTCTTCCCCATTGGAGCTCGTGAGCAGCGTTATTCAAGTCAATTTTCAAGCAACATAAGAACCTATACTTCTACCTTATCAATCCCAACTCACTCAACCTACTACATTCGACATTTCGCATCCTCATCAACACTTTTTTGAGTAAGTTTCTCATTTAACTTATTTTGAGTTTTGACTAATGTATTAGATAAAATAGGTTACTTTTAAAGCATTAGGTAGTATTAGCATTCGAAATAGGAAATGTTTCTATAATTTGAATGATTTTTGGGTGGTTAGGGAAAATGTAAGAGATGTTTCTTCCATTGAAATAAAAAATGAAGCTTTTTTGTAGATGTATATCTGAAATGGGTCCTTTCTGGTGTTTAGAGACACATCTCATAATTTTTTCCTTCTGATGCACGAATGTCTTTTTTTGATGTTTTTTTCAAGGAGAATGGCTGCAAACAACAAAATAAGACTCGGTCGTGAAACCCTAACCGCGTCTGTTCGCTGCGAGGGGGATCTTTAGCATGAGCAGGCCAGAGGTATGGGGGAGTTGTCCCTAGGCCTCACGACGGTGAAGCGGCGAATTTTAGGAGACGATTTTCAATTTTAAAACAACTTTTTTGACACTTGTTACTAATGTTTTTTTTTATTATTCATTTTCAGGGATGGATCCTTGTCCACTTTCATCGTATACACGAGTTTTAGCGCGTGCAATCGTAAACTGAGGATTACCCACGTGCTTGCATGTATCTCTCGCACAGAGGGAATGGTGTTGCGATACCGTTTTATGTGTATATTGATTGGACTCAACATGATGACGTCGACTGGATGCCATGCACTTCTCACCGAGAGAGAATTCCATTCGACCATATTTCATTATACTCCGGATGGCTGGCATGTGAAGTAGTATCATGTGCATATATCTACCAGAGTGGTGCATGCGGCAGTTTGGATACATGTAGATCATTCCTAGGTCTCCCTTCGAGGTTGCTCTTGAGACCATTGTCCGCAGATATCTAGATGACATTCTGGAAGATTTTGAGAGTCATATGGTATCGGGGGAGTATATGAGGGTGCAAGCCATATCTCAATGACATTATGCTGAGGATTACATAACTTGGTTCTATTATGTGTCACACCTTGTCATGACACCAGACTCTCCTGGATGTCCACCTAGACCTACTCATGAGGAGATCCTGAAGAATGAGTATGCCACAAATGACCATGTTGTTGATGTGTTGCCCATATATCAAAATATTATGAAGATTACTTATGTGGGCATATAGTCTGGACTGTTCGAGTGAGGTGGCGATGACGTGGTTGCGCTAGTATGTTACATTCTTACTGAGGCATGGAATGCCTTGGGTTACTGTTGACAGAGGAGGAGCCAGGGGTGAGAATTAAGCATACTCAGTAGATGATGTATTTGATTCTATTTTGGAATGTTATGGTATTTCTTTCCATACTTTGAGAACAATCTTTGTACTATGATTCTTTTTTTAACTAACCCATTGTTTTGTTCTATGGTATTCATGTTTATTAATCTTTGAATAAAAAATGGCAATGTTAATCGAATTAAAATGACATTGGATTCAAAAAACCTACAAAATTAGGACAATATTTTTGCACGAGTAGCATGTAGGCAAGATTTCAGACATTCATCTTTGAATTTACATCAGAAATATATACAGATGCATCTTCAAACTGTTATTTTTTAAGCGAGATGACTGATTGATTTAAGAAAGAAGAAATGTAATTCCAAAGATGTTTCTGCGAATTTATCTCAAAAAAATTCATAATTATATCTCCGAACTAAATTTTAACAAAAAAAAAAGATTTGATGCGTTCAGATAAATATCTCTAAATAGATAAAAAGATTTTAAAATTTTTATAAGTAAGTCCCACCTAAAAAAAAGAAATAGCATTGATGTAAACAGAAAACATATGTTTACACTAGTTTTAACATATAGGTGTATATGTATACCTAACATATACTAGTTTTATTTTTTTATTAATTTATCTATAATTTTTGTGCCACCAACACTTTTCTTTGTTATTATGCACGGTGTAACTACGGTATATGGCAAAAGCAGTGCAGGAGTAGCACGCCTCTAAGCTTAAATAAAACACTCGCACTGTCCGAATGAAAGTTTTTTGTTCTTGTTTGGTACCGTTTACTTTAATTAACTTAGATGAAGAGATGAATGCAACTAATTTTAAAAATTAAAAAAAGAAAAAACAAAGAAATTAGTCAATGGCATGTAGCAGAGTTTCAGTAAAATCAGTAAAATAATGTTGGTTGGATGGATTTCTTTTTGTACGTTTGTGTACATATAATTCATGGCCATGGGGTCCATGCCCAAATAATTTCACTTCACATTCATTTATTTGAATGAGGATGATGATGATAGCAAGCAAGTGAGAAAATATGTTTTATTTTATTTTTTTCCTAAACTAGGTGCTAAAAAATATTTGGAGTCTGTATATAGGAATTAGTGATATAACCAAATAAAGGAGAATAATACTTGTAAACTTAAATTATGGTAGCTCAATAAGATGGGTGAGAGACTGGTTATGTGTTTTATAATATTTCGATTCTAAAATAATAAAAAATATATAAAATAAATATTAGTTAAATTTAATTGGATTCGATTTTTAATAGATAATTATCTGAATCCGACCAAATCAACTATATAATATTTAAATTAAATAATTCGATGAATCTAACACTCGATTCAATCAATTTGTTTAAAAAAAATAATAAATTGGCCGGTTTAAATAGGGTGTTTCAAATTTGTCTATCCCTATAATTTCGTATCAAAACTTTGAAAAAATGTGACGTTCGTAAGTCAACAGAATTTCAGCATATCTCATCAAATGTCACGCCAAAATGAATTGTCTGTTTCCTTATGAACGCCTCTCTCTCTCTATCTTGTTTTTCTTCCCATATTGTGTTATGCACATGGCAAAATATTACACTCTCTAACATATACTCGCTCTGTTTTAAAACAGGGTCGTTTTAGATTTTTATATAAATTAATTAATGTCAGAGGATATTGTCCTTTATTAAATAATTTTATAAATTTGTTAGAAGGAATGTAAAATATAATTAAAAGACATAATTAGATCATCTATTTATTAAAAAAATGAGAATGATATTTCATCTATCTCAAAATAAATGTTTAAAAAAAAAAAATTATTTCAAAATGAATGTCATCATCACCTTTTAATATAATAATAGTAATTATTTTCTTAATTGTGTTATATAATTATTACTCTACATAGTATTTTTAATAAATTAATAAAATTAATTTAGTAAAAGTGCAATGTGTCATGACAATATAATTGTATTCTTTAATCTATATGAAAAAACTTTAAACAACAGTCATTTTAAAACGGATTAAGTATTTATTTTAAAACAAAATTTATCTATTAAAATGATACTTATTTTAAAACGGAAGAAGTACTTAAGTAAAAACTATCTGGTATGCAATCTTTCACAAATTTTTGGTGTTCTTTAATTTTGGGATTCTTCTCATTGAACTATTTACACCCTTTATGGCATGTTGATAAGTTTTTTATTTGAGATTTTTTCTCAAAATGCCACACTCCTAAAACATAATTCTCACAATGTTACAGTTTGAAAAAATATTTTCAAAATACGATAATCAGAAACCTCTATGCTATTTGAAATGGAGCGAGGGTCTCACCCATGCTTGCGCCGTTTCAAATGGCGTGAATGTGTATAATTTGTTTTTTTCGTTTTTTATTTTCTTGATGTGTAATGGATGAGACCCTCACATCATTTTAAATAGCGTGAATGTTTCTG